AAGAGTGAATCCCACTTTTTTTATATTACATTTATTACATAACAAACACAACAATTACATATATTGGGCACCTCGACGTGCGATAATGGTTAGCAAGCTTGTCTTGCTAGAACAATTACGAGTGAGTTCGATCCTTACTGCGTGCCCCATACTTTCGGCCTTGTGCCACAACTAAGCTACGCTAAAAAACCACCACAGCAATTAGATATATTTTATTATATTACATAAGAAAATTTCAGAGGTCACAACTTAAGCACAAGCCAATGAAATGCTTACACAACTAGTTCCGTTATTACTACGTTTTTTTTATTTTTTAATAACCTTACACACACAAGCCGCTAGTGGCCCACTGGCGGGCCGCTGATGGGTCTCTAGTGGTCTGCCAGTGATTACAACGCCGAGGTAAACACGCTAGCGGCTCGACAGCGGGCCAACAGAGGTAAACGCTAGCGGCATGCCACCCAGTGGCAGATTGGTCGTTTGCGTGAAAGGGAAGTTGTTTTTCAAAAGGAAAGGTTTTCCTAGGATGTTGTTATGTCTTCAATGTATTGAATGAAGATAACACAATCAATGGCGTATATCGTTTGTCTTGCTGAAATAGGTAGTAAGTTGATAATCTAGAATTTTAGCTCTCTACTTGTTTCCTTCTTTTATTGACGATTCTTCAAATTCTCTTCTGGCGAGGTGTGTTTATCTCCACAAGAATTGTCTTTTCTTTGCAAGCTGCTAAAATGGAAAAAGATCCTCAATCTGTGCGTTACACATCTCAAAGTCATTTCAAAACTCGCAACTTAAACAGAAGTTACTGATGAACTGTCCAATCAATTATTTCCTTTGTCACCATTGCTTCTTGTAAAGGTTTTATATTGAACACGATGCTCTGATTACTTTTTATTTTCGATAATTCTTTTGAATTTGTTTTTTATGTTTGTTCTGCCTAGCGCTCCTTACAAATGTTTGTAAGCAAACACTGAGGCTAGTAAAAAGACAGCAACATGAGAAAGTGATCTCGCAACTTGTTAATAAATTACATTGAGCGTATAAACAGATATATATAACTATACAACGGCAAATATTGATTAAATATAAATTTACATATAAAAGAATGAAAATGAAGGCAAAAGATTACGGAAACGCTCTGACAAGCAATCATTTGGTAATGTTGGTTTAGACAAGTCCGGTTTTGTTTAGAAAGCATAAAACCGTAAAAGTAGAAACAAAATAGATTCACAATTGGTTTAGCCAACCTTTAACTGGTCGTGCAATATTTCTAATGATTAATTAATGATTTTTAAGAACTTCGGTCATTTTCCTTTTACTGTTGTTCACCACCCAGTACAAGGCGCACTCAAGGTAGAGGGTCAATGAATTAAGTTGTTGAAATTAGATAATAGTTAATTTGAAATTTGAAGCTGTTAAGATGATAGCGATCGGGAAAGCATCCCCTCGGGAGTCTTTTCCACAAAGTAGTGGCCATTGGGAAAAAGCTGTCCGAATTAAAATTCCTACTCACTAATTGTCTGCAAATAGAATTAAGATGGTTCGAACCTGTATACGTAGCATGGTGTTTTTTTTTTTTTTTTTTTAGCTGAAAAGGGTCTGACCTTGTAAAAGTAATGAATGTAGGTAATTAAAATAGTTGCCATGGAAATATAGAAAGAGAAACGAGAGGCATGCGACGTTTCATCTGTGGGATTCTCAAACCGAGGCTGCTGGGGAATGAGTGTTTCTTTTTATTATCGAGAAAATCATTTCCATTTAGATTTTCCAACCTAGTTTATTAGATGAGTAGCGTTGACTTCTTGCTAGCACAACCATCAACACTGCCAAATCACGTTGAAACATCGGTTCCCGTACGATCACCGAAGTTAAGCAACGTCGAGCGTGGTCAGTATCTGACCGCTTCGGTATACCAGGTGCTGTTAGGTGTTTCCAATTCCAGTTGGGTTTATTATATTCACTTATGTTGAAATACCATTGAGAAAGGTATCAGTTTTATCCACCCAGTTATGGGTTAAATAAGTAAGATTTCTATCATTAAACCATTATTATATCTAAAAAATTCTTACGATCTAAAAATATTTTCTGGCATTAAATAATCTGCAAAGTGTTGATAAGCCGTAGAAAACGAACCAAACAAACAATATGCCTGTCACATGAGTAACGTTTGCATATATTTAATCGATTTTGATTAGATTTTAATATATTTAATAGATTTTAATTAGATTTTAATAGATTTAATAGATTTTAATTAGATTTTAATAGTTTAATATATTTAATCGATTTTAATTAGATTTTAATATATTTATTATATTTTAAATTAGATTTTAATAGATTTTAATTCAATTTTAATAGATTTAATTATTTTCAACATTTCATATATTTGATAAAGAAGAAAGTTCCTTAAATCTGAAAGAAAAAGCAAATCAAAAAAGGATTTGATGAGATGAATGAAGACAAAAAAAAAACAGAAATAGCTAAGCAGAACAGTAACGGATAACGAAGGTTTCGTGGCTTCGGAGTTAAAATGAACAGTCGATTTACCCAGGCCAAGAAGATTAAGGAATGATGATAATGTAAAGGAAACGTACGGCTAATTTTTGACAAAACAAGATAAGGAATTTATTTACGAATGTACACGATTGAAGTTGTGCCAGTAGCTCGTTTCAAAAAAATAAATCAGATATTTTCAAGTGCGTAGTATTAAATTTTAATGAAGAGGAAATTTTCATACAACAGATTAAATTATCTGACCCAAAATAATATTCAGAAATGTTTAAAACAAAGGTAAGAGTTCATTACTCGCAGAAAGGATATATAGTTGCATACATTCAAAAGTAGACGAAGAGGGATAGTTTGAAATACTTTTCTTTATTGATTGTTGAAAAGAAAATTCTTTGAAGAACCGCGAGCTTGTTTAAAAGCCGATAATATAATTGGCGAGTAATTTGGCACTGGCGAAAATTTCAACGCTGGACACGGTGAACAGAAACGAAACCTTTCACACGACTTCAGACTTTATTAATTTAATCTTTCACCTCATTTTATATCAAAAGTAATTTCGCATAAGCTCACTACTTTCTTTTCTTTCTTCTTGGCTCAACGGCTAATTTCTGTAGAAACATGGTTTTCATTGGTCCCAAAACAATTTTACATAGGCTCGCGAATTTGTTTCCGTCTTATTCTCCTCTCGCCGATCAATTTCTGTGAAGGCAAGGTTTTCATTGGTCCAAGGAAAATTTCACATAGGCTCACGAATTCCTTTACGTTTTTTTCCTAAGTCCTCCGAATATGAAATGAGTGGGTAAAGAGATTTATAACTATTTTGCTTCACTATAGATAAAATTACGCACAAATACCCAATACGAAGCAGTTTCATCCGAATATTTTGTTCGTAAACTGATTTGTTCGACATGTGAAACGTTCGAGAACCGAGGTTGCTCTGTAATTTACTTTATTCGTTTTGTTGTCTTGATTGTTTGAATTTTCATTATCAGTTTTTTTTTGTTTTTTAGTTTTTCCCACTCGACTGGAGACGAATTTTTATTTTATTTTTCTGGTATAAGATTTAGTTTCACTTTCGGGTTTTTTTTTTTTACCCCGTTTCCCGTTTAAAACATTTTATCAGCCAAATTCTCTTTGCTTTTAAATTCAGTCGACGTACTATTTTCCGCTTGTTAAAATATATTGCTTGTCAGCAGTGGATTTAGAATAAAATTTTGATTTAAAAAATTCGTCGCATTGTAAGTCGATAAACTCCAACTGATATTTTTCTGCCACTTGCTCTGCAAATTAATTAGATAATTAGTGTCAAGGTGTTAAGTTCGCGGACTGAATGTGGCCCGGGAGTTGCTGTCCTATGCCTTAGAGATATTGGTGCTGCATATACAGTTTCATTAACCAAAGTACAGAGAACTTAAAAAAAATATAAATGTGGAAAAATAATGCCTAAAATTGTTCGTTTTTGATTCCGTCTTTCATTTTCAACAATTGTCTTTCTAATCCAGATTTTAATTTTTTCAACATATTTTTTTATTATTAATCTCGCTTCTTTTTTTGTTTCCAATAGGTACCATCTTGATCTCGCGTTACCGTTTTAACATGTACCTGCTTGAACACATTTGTCGTTTTTATTGCAACAGGTACATTTTTCTTCGAGATTTTTTCCATTGTTTTCAAACTGTGCATTTTGATCCCGTGTTACCTTTTCAATGTGCGACTTCTCGAATACGTTTTACATTTTCAAAATATACTTTATTGATCTTTGTTTTAACTTGTTTCATACCGTCAATTTTTTGATAGGTACCTCCTTGATACCGCTTTTCCATTTTTAAGCAGTGCCTTCTTGTTCCTGTTTTTCAAATTTTGAATAGGTGCCTTCTTGATCCTTTTTTTCATTTTTTCAACAGGTGCGTTACTGATCCAGTTTTTCCATTTATAAGAGGTGCCGTCTTGATCCTGTTTTGCCATTTTAAAGAGGTGTCGTCTTGATCCTGTTTTGCTATTTTTTCAGCGATACCGTCTTGATCCAGATTTTCCATTTATAAGAGGTGACGTCTTGATCCTGTTTTGCCATTTTAAAGAGGTGTCGTCTTGATCCTGTTTTGCTATTTTTTCAGCGATACCGTCTTGATCCAGATTTTCCATTTATAAGAGGTGACGTCTTGATCCTGTTTTGCCATTTTAAAGAGGTGACGTCTTGATCCTGTTTTGCCATTTTAAAGAGGTGACGTCTTGATCCTGTTTTTACATTTTTTTTAAAGAGGTGCTGCCTTGATCCTGTTCTTCCACTTTTTCTATTTTTAAGAAGTGCCGTCTTGATCCTGTTTTTCCATCTTTTTCTTAACAAATGCAGTCATAATCCTGATTTGCCATTTTTTTTTTCAAGAGGTAACTTCTCAATTCTATTTTTAACAGCTGCCTTACGTGCTATTTTGCACTCTTTTTTCTTTTTTTTCAACTGCACTGTTCTTGATCTCGTTTATCTACTTTTTTAACAGGTGCCTTCCTGATACCGTTTTTCTTTTTCTTGTTTATTGCTGCCGTTCCACTTTTATTCGTGGAACTATCCTATTCGCAATATTCAAATCTTGGACCCGGAAAAGTATGGATCCTTTGCCCACTCTTTAAAGGTCAGTCTATAATTTTAAATCCATCTTAAAATTTCCAACCAATTTAATGAAAATAATTTTAACAATATCTGAGTAAAAATTCTTGTGTTAATATCATTTTTTTATTTTCTTTAATCATTTCACTCCAAGAAAGGCGGAAATGCCGCTAGTATGCAAGTGGTTATAGGGAGTGAAAGTGAGAGAAAAGACTGGATATAGGGAGGAAAGGACAAAAGATGAACTGAATTCAAGAAAATAGAAAATGGCGATTGAGGTTGCATTTAAATTTCTGAAGATTGTAGTTATCAGGGAAGCAAGGAAGGGAGTTGCACAAGCGGGAAGTGCAAGAAAAGTGGAGTGGAAATAGCGGTTGTATTTAGCTATTTCAACAGTAAAAGGGTGGGACCTAGTAGCCAATATAGTATCGCGCTTCAATTCACGTAGTCGGGGAACTAGGGAAATACCTTAACACACACACACACACACATACATACACACACACACACACACACACACACACACACACACACATATATACACATATATATATATATATATATATATATATAATCATTGCCATCCCCTCGCATTCTTTGTAATGCTTTCTGTCTCGTTTCGGCGTCTATGATGACACTTGAGAGCAGCGTTTGATTGGGCTGATTGGATCTGAATCCCCTTAAACTCGACTTTGTTCCATCATAATGATGATCTTCAAACCTTATGGCAAACAATGCAGGTATTGTCGGCAGGACGATGAGGCAGGATGGCATAGTTGGCTTGCTTCTGCTGGTTATGATGACCTTTCAGCTGGTTCACATAACATACCCTCGACAACAGAATGCGCATACACACACCACATCTACAAAGCTGCCTATTATTGGGTAAATCAAAATTAGTGTCTCATGATTGAACTGGGCCTGCCTTTCCTGAGACATTTATCCTCAAAAGCGTTGCGTCTCTCTATGCATTCAGAAACATCTGGATAAGATGACAATATCCTGAAACAATGAAATAAGATGCTGGGACACTATTTACATTATTCGGACTATTGTCCTCATCTTTGTTGCCATATTTATCACAACGTTTCAGCCGTTGTACGCTCCGGCCTTCTTCAGGTGGTTAAGGACAATGGCACAGTGGATAAAGGCGTTGGTTAGATCCAGTGACAGGACCCAAAGAGTTGTGAGTTCAATACCTGGTTAAGGCAGTGGAGAACTTGGAGAAGGGAATTAACAGGAGATAACTGATAACTGACATCCATTAGACATGGCACGTGGAACTAGAACATTCTAACCCAGCGAGCGAAATAAAGGGTTCAGTTCGACATTTGAAGGCCGGAGCATAAAACGGCCGAAACGTTCTCATAAATATGGCAACAAAGACGAGGACAATAGTCCGAATAATGTAAATAGTGTACATAATACCTCATCTCAGAAATATAGACAGATAATGAAAGGCTGAAACATTGGGATAAACATGGCAACAAAGATGAGGACAATAGTCCGAATAATGTAAATAGTGTACATAATACCTCATCTCAGAAATATAGACAGATACTGAAAGGCCGAAACGTTGTAATAAATATGGCAACAAAGATGAGGACAATAGTCCGAATAATGTAAATAGTGTACATAATACCTCATCTCAGAAATATAGACAGATACTGAAAGGCGGAAACATTGTGATAAATATGGAGACAAAGATGAGGACAATAGTCCAAATAATGTAAATAGTTTACATAATACCTCATCTCAGAAATATAGAAAGATGTTGAGGCATCAATGGATTATAGTGAGAAACTGTGACGAGCTATTAGGGGTGATGGTGAAGGAGTACTTTTGAAATGTATATATACTGCAAACTACACACAGCAGAAATCTGAAAATATGATCAAAGCTGTACATAAAATTCTAATTATAACGATGTTTTTACTTAAATGCAATCCCATCACGACGTAAGCGATCACGACTCTCCACGCATTTCTTTTTTTATTATCTGTGAATTACTATAACTTCTTGTGAAAAACGTGTATATGAAATAAACTTTGAAATAAAGATATAAGAAAATTTCAAACATTTAATAATAATAATAAATGCTCTGTTACTACATCAGACATGGCTCTCATGGCTTATGAGCTTATCTGATTGAAACTGTTAATCCGATTCTCGGTACGATCACCGGTTAAGCAACGTCGAAGCTAGTCAGTACCCAGACAGGTGACCACTTCGCAATACCGGGTGGTGTAAGCTTGGATGTGCGGGTGGTGTAATAAATAATAGCTTGGAATTGGAAATCGGAGAGCCGAGTTCCAATTCCAGTTGAGTTCGTTAAATTCACCTACCCGCAAATACCCTTGGAAAAGGTATGAATCCACTTCATCTACCCCCAGCAGTGGGTTAATTAGTAGGACCTGTATCAGTAAATCATTGTTATCACCCCCAAATTATTACAATCTAATAATATTTTCTGGCTTTAAACAATCTGTAAATGGTTGATAAGCCGTAAAAAAACAAAACAATCAGTCAACCATGGAGATATTACTATTTTATCATTTTAAATGTTATTTTTTAGTGGGGGATTTTCGTTTATAATGCACTAGTCGGCTATGCTTGATCGGCGACGCACTCCGTTGCTGGGTCGGTCTAGAGCTCATTGGATCTAACGACGTTTTCTCCTGGAAATAGGGAAGCAGGTTCGAATCCTGCTAGAGAGCGCATTTTTTCTTTAATAAGATTTCTCGAATATTCAGGTCGGTAGATGAAAATAAATAAATTAATTTATTTTATTTAATACAATTAAATTATAGCGTATCGGTGTTGTGGGAGTAATGGTTAGCAAAGACAGGATTATTAATCATTACTTGGTGAACCACATTCAGTGCTCTAAACAAAATTCAACATTAAATAACTCAATAAGGGTTGGTATGACAAAAATCAGATCGAATTAACGTAATTTTAATTTTCTTAATTTAATTATTTTCATTCTATTTAATTTTACTGAATTAATTTAAAAAATTATCCCGTTTTTCATATATTTCATTGAATTATATTGGAGGAAAATGAATGACAAAGTGGAAAAAATTATTCTTGTGGCGTGTTTCGTCCTTTAAGACTTCAGAGGACTAAATTTGTTGGTGCGACTACACATGCGCACGAACGAGGGATGCTGGGAATTTTAAAATTTTTATTTAATATTAATCTAGCCGATTTCATTTAGATTCTTTTTCTTTTTCTTTCCTTCACTTTGGTTATTAGATATCTCGCATTGTTGTAATAGGAGATTTGCCAGGAATGATGAAATGTTGTAAGTGCAAGAGAGCAAAATTACTGTAGATGACCTTGAATTATATATATTCTAGGTCCTATACAGAATCTAGAGACGGATATGCAATGTGATAGGCTCTGAGCTGGCATCTCGTCTACAGTCACTTTCTCACAGACGTGATGTGGCTTCCCTCTCTTTTTTCTATAAATATTTCATGGCAACTGCTCTGACGAGCTGAGCTACTTTCACTGGTACACCGACCGCGTGAATTTAAACGTGCTACTAGGTTGTCATTTCGGTCCCTTCCTTTCACTGTCGAAACGGTTACATGTAACTGACTCTTCTACTCCAACAGTTTCTTCTCTCGCACTTCCCGACAGTGGAACTCCGTTCCTCCTACTTGCTTCCCTGATAGTTATAATCTTCAAATATTCAAATGTAATGTCAATCGACATCTTCTGATGCCTTGATCCTGATCTCCGTCCTTCTCTATATCATTTCCTCAAACACCCCTCTTTACTCTTGCTATCACTCTCTATAACCCCTTGCGTGCTAGTGGCGCTCCCACTTTGCTTGGGGTGAAATGCTTAAAAAAAATATATACTTTTCTTTTACTCTAACAGGTATCGGTTATGGTATGGTTATTTTGAGCAGCATCATTTCCATTTTTTACACGGTGATTTTATCCTGGGCTCTTTATTATCTCTACATTTCCATGCACCCTGTTTTGGCGTGGAGGTATTGCAGCAATTCCTGGAACACATGGCAGTGTTATGAGACTGTACCGAATTCAAATCGCACTTTCCCCTTTCAGAACGACAATAGAACATACCTGCAGCAATCACTTGGATTCAATAATTCAAATAGCTCGTTTCACCGCCACGCCATTTCTGCCTCAGAACAATTTTGGAAGTGAGTTAACATAATTGTATTTTCTTTTATGTTCGGATTTCTTTTTAGATGCACAGGCTTTTTATTTTCTCCTTTAAAAAAATTATTTCACCCAAAGCAAGGTGATAATGTTACTAAGGCGTAAGGGATTACTGCGAGTGAAAGAGAATAAGACTTTCAGAGAAGGAACCGGAAATCCAATCCTAAACAGGAAACAAAGGATAAACCTCTACTCCTGTTCGAAAGGCCAGGAAAGAGTGCGAACCGAACGATAGGCGAACCTATCTACTCCTCTTACGACCATACCACGTTGAAACAACGGTTTCTGTACGATCAACAACATCACCTGGTCAGTACCTTGAGATTTGGGCTCGTGAGGACTAGACCAGCATCGAATTAAGGATCATCAAGGCACAAGTCTGTTGCACTGGCCACGTCGTCCGCATATAGCAACATCGCATTTCCAGACGCCTGTGGCGCGGAGAGCTTCTATGCAGCAGATTTGCATCAAGACCGAACAAAGAATCACTACAAAGACATCATCAAAACTAACCTCCATTGTTGCAAGAACAAAACCAAAAGAGTTAAAGGAGTGAACTGCCGACTGATGGCGTTGGCATTGATGTGTCATTGTCCAGTTCACCAAGCATCTGAAAACTTCTAAGAGGTTCGGCGTCAAAATTTCACTACTTAAAGAGAACACCGCCATTATGCAACTGTGGTATTAGTCATAACCACTGACTTCCAGTATCCCCACTACTCCAGACTCTGCGCGTCCAGACTTAGTTTATGGAGTTATCTATAGATCAACTAATGAATTGCAAAACAAAGATTCTTCGGACCTGAAAAACAACCATAGTGTTATTCTTTCTTTATTACTTATAGAATTATTGTACAAGTACGTTAATTACGTTAATTAATTTTAAGTACATTGATAATGATACGGAGAATAGAATCGAAAAACCAAGTTCAAACTACAGCCGAGCTGTCTGCATTCACTTCATACTACTGTTCGTTCGTTCGGCATCCGTCTGTCTCTGGAGACGATAGAGTAGCGCGTTGTGCCGATGTCTTGCGACGTCGCTGGATTGTCCTCTCCAGTACGCTACGATCCTGGGCGGGATGTATGGAGAACCGGACGTCTAGTTTCCCCTCTCGGCTTTGCTAGCAGAGTCCAAAGGAGAAGATAAACCAATACAGTTTGGTACCAGCGCGGCTGCAGGAGTTGCCGGAAGGATACACAGAGTGCCGTCCATCCGCCTTAGGGGCTCCACTCCGGATTTGTGTAGGGTTTACTCCTTAGCCTTTCCTTCTCCCGAAGATTTCCACAAGGCAGTGGAGCTATTTAACCCATAGCTGGGTACATGGGCACCATGGCATGTCCACACACCGGTGGGCCTGCATACCGCATGTTAGGGGGGTGGTGACTCCTCCCCCATCCCCTGTAGTTTAGCCCGACTCCGTAAGGTGCTCGGTTGGCATGTGTCGCCACGAGGAGGCACTACATAGGGCTTGCTGATGGAGAGACTATATACTGGCAGGGGAAGACTTACGCACTTGGCTCCCCTTTTCGCATTTCTGCTAGCCAGCGGCGGTAACTGAAAGCGAGAAGCGACAAGCACTACCACTACAGACTACCACACTAGACGCATCACACTAGTGTAAAGGCATGAATAACCACTATAAACATCATGGCAGTTGGAGACCTTTTAGCCCCGTAATGTAATTCCTTTTGAGTGTTTGATAATCGGTGGTCAGGTAGCGTTCATTGCTACTGGCATCATTAACCTTTTCCTCATAAGGAAACATTCGACATTCATTGGCCAAGAAGTCAGTGCTACCGTAGGTTGAAATTTATAAAATCTCTATAAAGAGAATTTATCAGGAAAATAGGTTTCTCGTGTCCACTAATAGTTATCGTTCTTTCCAGTATTGATGGGGGTTTCCTTCCTAACCTTTTGTCTGAAGTGGTGTGGAATGCCATCATATCATTTTCTCTTCGAGTTACATGCGCTATCCATTTTATTAGTTGCTGCTATTGAAAGTCTTTCAAGTAATGTGGCTTCTGTTATTTAGTACAGTTTTTTATGATTGTGTAGCGCCAGTCTACAAATTTCGAAGAAGGATGGTCCTCGCTAAGAACTCCAGGCTTCCTTCTCTTGAAAGCATTTTTATTCATTGAATCTGAGAAAGCAGTTCTATAGAGCTAACAGTTTAAATATTTCTGAACGAGTTTGGTTCCACGCATGACATTCATATGAAGATTTCGATCTGACGAGGCTATTTAACAACACAAATCTATTTTTTAAGGGTTAATGGCTAAAACGTTGGGATAATAACTACAAAGATGAAGGCAATATTTTGAATGTAAATAATGATAACTCCTCATCCCAGAAATTCAGACAGAAGAGTTCTGATTAATCCTGACATTTTTATATTGTATGGAGGCAGGGTGGAGTAGTGGATAGTGGCTCGGATTGAGGAATCGGAGAGCCGAGTTTGAATTCCAGTCGAATTCATTACATTCACTTACGTGCTAATACCCTTGGGAAAGGTATGAATCCACTTCTTCTCCCTCCAGCTATGGGTAAATAGCAGAACAGACTGGGTTCTATAGCCTTGGATGGCAACTGGTCTAGGAGAAGGACAACTCTGAATTCAAAACCTGCGGAGGGTCGTTTGGAGACATTGTGGCACTTAGTGCACCAGGTCTCTGTATTCGGCCCTTCGAAAAAGTGTGGATGGTTCTGCACAAAGACTTCGCCACTATAATCAAATCATATGTTCTAGTGTCTGGGCCATATGTGCTGTCGGTTCCTAGGAACTGAGTTGCTTGACCCTCATACGTTGAATACAACGGGAGAGTCCACCAATTTGTAGTCAAATTTTTAAAGTATAACTGTTATCGCATGTCACGTGGCATCGGGAATCATATTGTAAGTATTGCTTTTAACTAAATATAAAGGATACATTATTTTTTCAATTTTTGCCATTTGGAGTCCAGTGATATGGCAGTACCTTAGAAAAAGATATTATTTAAAACATTTTAAAATGCTTTGGCATATGGCAAAAGATATTTTGTTTGTTTTTGTTTGTTTTATGTGCGTGTGTGTGTGTGTGTGTGTGTGTGTGTGTGTGTGTGTGCGTGCGTGTGTGTGTGTGTGTGTTGCGTGCGTGTGTGTGTGATGTGTGTGTGTGCGTTTGTGTGTGTGTGTGTGTGTGTGTGTGTGTGTGTGTGTGTGTGTGTGTGTGTGCGTGCGTGTGTGTGTGTGTGTGTGTGTGTGCGTGTGTGTGCGTGTGTGTGTGTGTGTGTGTGTGTGTGTGTGTGTGTGTGTGTGCGTGCGTGTGTGTGTGTGTGCGTGTGTGTGTGTGTGTGTGTGTGCGTGCGTGTGTGTGTGTGTGTGTGTGTGTGTGTGTGTGTGCGTGTGTGTGTGCGTGCGTGCGTGTGCGTGTGTGTGTGTGTGCGTGTGTGTGCGTGCGTGCGTGTGTGTGTGTGTGTGTGCGTGCGTGTGTGTGTGTGTGTGTGTGTGTGTGTGTGCGTGTGTGTGTGTGTGTGTGTGTGTGTGTGTGCGTGTGTGTGTGTGCGTGTGTGTTTTGTGTGTGTGTGTGTGTGTGTGTGTGTGTGTGTGCGTGCGTGCGTGTGTGTGTGTGTGTGTGTGTGTGTGTGTGTGCGTGTGTGTGTGTGTGTTTTTTTTCCTAAGTATATCTCAAAGTATTTTCTGACATTCATTTGTATCACAGCCAAATAATTTTATTTTTTTTTATGATTATCTATTAATCTTGTCCAATGTTATGAACATAGTATATAAAAGAAGTGTTGAGAAATACATGACTTGAAGTCGTGACTCTTTTAATCACTAGTTTACTGAAATATAGACAGATCCTGAAGGAGGCCTGATCGTACAATAGCCGAAACGTCGTGAATATGGCAATAAAGATATTGACAACAGTCCGAACGAGGTAAATAGTGTAAATAGTTACAATAAATCATCTCAGAAATATAGACAAAAGGATAGATACTTACCATCAGGAAAACAGTTGAAATTTCTAGGACAAATAATGAGGAAAGAGGGTTTGGAAATTTTGATACTCACAAGACAGATTGAAGGTAAGAGAGACAGAGGAAAACAACGCATAACCTACTTAGCGAGAATGAGTAAATGGATGGCGGAACAGGGTTTAGGAGAGATAACAAAAAGTCTATTAAGAGCTACAAAAAAGTGGAAACTAAGGAGAGCCATGATCGCCTACGTCCTGAAGGGACACGGGACATAGAAGAAGAAGAAGAAGAAGAAGAAGAAGAAGAAGAAGAAGAGTATGAAGAAGAAGAAGAAGAAGAAGATGAAGAAGAAGAAAAAGAAGATTATGAAGAAGAAGACTCATACAAGGAATCATTTTTTTTTTAAATTCTTTTAGTTTAGAAAGCAGAGAAAATGTGCCCATAGAAATTAATCAGACTCTTGGTTTAGCCATAATCAGAATATCTAGGGAGGAGGAGATGCGATAGGCATCAATAAACTACAGAACTCAAAATTAATCGCTGCATTCAAGTAGTGAATTAATGTTTAAACTTACCTTTTAAAAGTGCAACGATAATTCTTCTGCTGCCACTTAATTTAAAGACGATTTGATGTACGTAGCTCCTTATTTTCCATACAAACAATTATTTTTATTTCATGGGTGAGAGAAGAGGGGACAATTTCTAAGATATAATTAATATAGTGTAAAGATGGGAAAATAGAATTATACATTCAACATTTGAAGAGATAGAGAAACATAATAGCTAATTAAGTAAAACCTATACTATGGAATATAATATATTTCTCCATGTTTATTTTGGGATGTATTTTTCCACTCTCCTTGGACAGATCTCAGCGAGTTTGTGATTGGGTAATTAAGAAGGATGCCATGTTGGACGAGAAAAGTCAAGAAATGGCGATCAGTGTACAGGGATTGAGGCGTGTACAGTTAAACGTCCCGCACTCACTATTGCATGAGTGAAGCGAATACACTTTGTCGAATGAAGTAAGGTAACTGGTTGAGTGCCCCCCCCCCGCTCGCTAATGCATGAGCGCAGTGAATGCACTTGCAGGAGCAAAGTGACTGCACTCACGAGCTTGTAAGCAACCGGCTAGTTTGAAATAAAATAATGAGTTCCAGCGAAACATTAATTTTGATAATATTCGAAAGATCATATTAATATTTTTAACTTTCACATATTATTTGCCCATCCTGGGCACGACATTAAACTACAACCGGCAGCAAAGGCTTCTGATCGGGAGGTTTTGAGGATTATGGAACAACCTCTTAGTTGCTGTTGTGCCCAAGTTCACCCTGACCCGGGATAATAGCACCCGTTAGGGTCACAGTTATCGGTAAATAGTTAACCTCCAAATTTGGGTCAAAACACTATGAAAGTATAAACATTTTCATAGTAAAAAAATCAGCAATACGTTTTTGTAAAAAAAAAAAAAAATACTAGCAATGAATTTTTGAAAAAAAAAGTGCCAGCAATCTAGTTTTATAAAAGAAATTACCAATGCTCTCAAAAAAATTAAATTTCGACATTAAATGACCCATAAGGAGTTGATATGCCGCTAAACAAACATACTCAGATATTCCTATCATTTTCTTTTATTTTTTGGAATGTGAAATGTATCGAATATGTAAAACATTCTAATGGACAAAGTTGCTGTTGACCACTAATTTAAAGCGTGGGGGAGTTACAACTTGTTGCTGATGAAGATGAAGATTTTCAAAGTAAACAAATCCGACATTTTCAAAATATCCCCCATGCAAGGCAATAAAGCCACTAAGATACAAGGGGTTACAGGGTGTGGAAGAATTAGGAACAGAAACATTACTAATGAGCGAGAAGAGGAAAGAGTAATCAGGAGGACAGTAGATAGCGATTGACATTGCATTTAATTTTTTTTCAGATTGAAGTTGTCTGGAAAGCATACAGCCGGAAGAGAGTTTCACAAGCGAGAAGTGTTAGAGAAGAAACTGCTAGCATAGAATTTACGGCTATATCAAGCCAGCTCAACAGTAAATTGATAAAATCTCGACGCCAGTCAAGTACTACGCTTAAATTCAAAAAGTCTAGGTACCATAGCTAAGAGCGATATTTATTCTGTACAATACAGAAATGTGGCACAAGGCTGAAAAGGGGATTGGGGAAAGGACGGTCTTCTTCTGTCTTAACTATAACTTAGCTAGCCGCAAACACTGACCCAATCGTACGAAACAATATTCCTTTCACCAAAACAACACATTCATTCGTACCTTTCTTACTACAACCACCATAATACCTCTTTGTTTCTATGAAAATACTAATTAGTCCCCATATTTACAATTCGTGGTCTGTGGGGGGGGGAGAGGGGAATAAAACAACAATTCTAAAAATTAACCCCAATGAGTATTTACAATATGCATACAAAAACTATTTACAAGAAACTAAAGAAAATCAGATTAGTAATAAAACCCCCCACAATTACTAAAGCCATAAGTACCATAGCTAAGAGCTCATCCAAACAATTTACCATGAAAGTATTTATAGAAAAGGCACAAGGAGGCAATTTTACGGTAGTGGGAAAGTGACTGAAGCCGAGCCGCCAAATCAGGACCAATAATATTGCTGATCCTTCTTTGGATTTTATCAAGGAGTTCAAGATAAATAGCAGGGACACCGGAGCATATGTGCCGGTAAACATGGACGAATGGTAGACTTATAGATATGTAAGATAGATTCGGAAGAGAAAAAACTGTCTCGCACAAAACATTAGTTTTTTTTTAGCAGTCTTAGCAGTTGAACTAGCAATGGATTCAATACAGTCTTTCGATTTCATGGCAGCTGAGAACTATATATATATATATATATATATATATATATGAATCTTTTCACCCCAAGCAAGGCGAGAATGCCACTAGTGCTCAGGAGGTTGAAAGAGAAGACTAGGAATTGGGAGAAATGAGGAAAGGACAAAAGATGAACGGGATTCAAGAAGACAGAATATGGCGATTGATGTTGCATTTAAATTTTTGAAGATTGTAATTGTCTGAGAAGCAAGCAAACGGAAGAGAGTTCCACAGGCGAGAAGTGCGAGAAAACGAAACTGTTGGAGTAGAAGTGGCGGTTGCATTTAGCTATTTCAACAGGAAAAGGGTGGGACCTATATTCCAATCTAGTAGCACGCTTAAATTCATGTACTCGGGACAGCAGGGAAATAAAAAGTTCTTCAGAGCAGTAGCCATGAAAATATTTGTAGAAAAGACAGCGGGAAAGTCTCTTCACGTCTGTGAGAAAGTGTCTGAAGTGGAGATACTAAGTCATAGTTTTATATAAGTGTGTAAAAATTGTCCAAATGTTCGGTTTATCCAAGCGCTTTCTGCTATACTTTCAGCCATTATCAAAGGCGATTTTATAACAAAGTGAGAGAAAAAAGCTTGACGAGTAAGCAGAAGGGAGTTCCACTGTCGGGAAGTGCGAGAAAAAAAGACACTGTTGGAGTAGTTACATTTAACTAGTTCTACAATAAACGGTAGTACCTAGATGCCAATCTAGTAGCACGCTTAAATTCATATAGTCGGGACACAAGGGAAAAAAAGTTCGTCAGAGTAGTTGCCATGAAAATATTTGTAGAAAAGACAGAGGGAAGGCACAGTGAGAAAGTGAGTGAAGTCGAGATATCTAGTCAGGATCGATTACATTACGGATCTTCTATAAAGAATATCATAGGTAAAGATATAAAAAAACAAGACAGAAAATGTTGATCTGCTTAGCTGTAGTGTGTGTGTGTGTGTGTGTGTGTGTGTGTGTGTGTGTGTGTGTGTGTGTGTGTGTGAGAAAATATGTGATCCAATAAAATTGAAAAGAAGGTTTGGGGAATAAAATCTCATAGGTGAGGTGTACTGAACATGTTTTCAACCTACCGGATCCTGTGACTGAGTGAAGCAGAAAGTGGAAGAGGTTTTATTGCCTCTTCTTTTTATAGTCCTGAAACAACGCCACCTATCGGCTTCTTCGCAGGCAAAGACTAATGCAATGCAATATTTATCATTTATCAATTTATAAAAAAAATAAATATGAAAAGTTTTATTCATAAATTTACAAACATTTGCTAAATTATTAAAATATGTGAACCAACTGTAAAGAAATCCTTATCATTTACCCTTTTATAAAGGTTAAATCGATTCGCAATTAACCAATATTTTGCTACCGATTCCAATAAGCAATATAATAAATAAATAGTTTAACTAAAGAATCTAATAAATAAATAATGTTTATTACTTTTGTTATCAGTTCACAAGAAAAAAGAAATTGCATAAACTAACTTTCAAATATTTAAGTTTTATTAAAATTCTAATCTTTGTTTTTAAAACAATAAATATTGCCGAGGAGTGAAGGTAGTTAAAAGCGGTGTCACGGAGAAAAGCGTCCTTTTGACACTGTTTTCTTTCCTAGTAGGGGTGGATGCGGTGACGAAGATCCACGTTTTCCCATTGTTCTTTGCTCTAATATCCTTAATAAATCAGTCAAAATTTAAAAAAAAAATGTTTTTATATATAAGGGTGTTTCATTAAGACGGATCAAAATCAGAAGTAAATAAATCCGTGTTATTGGTGAAAATTCATTTATTTCTCTATTGGATTATGTTATTTAAGTCATGGCAATTATGTATGAAAAGTAATATCGTCCAAATGTCCGCCAAATCTGCAAGAAAAAAATCATTAGACGCTTAAACGTAATTTACATTTAAAGTCGGTCCAAGTTATTTGAACACTCTTTAATTTAAAAACCTTGTCTTTATTATTCATGTAAGATATTATTCTACTGTATATGCAAAAAAGACATGACTAATTAATGAAACCATTATTTTTTTTTTCATCGTTTCACAAAAGGCATCATGTATTAGAGATAACATCTGGTGCAAGCAATATGGGGAGCATTCGTTATCCGTTACTGTTGTGCTTAGCAATTTCTTGGATTTTTGTCTTCCTCTGTCTCATCAAAGGCATCAAATCCTCTGGAAAAGTAAGGTTTTTTTTTTTTGTTTGATTTTTTTGCTTTTTCTTTCTGAATTAAGAAACTTTCTTCTTCATTAAATATATGAAATGTTAAAAAAATAATTAACAACTATTAAATATTTGCAAAAGTTTCTCGTGTGACAAGCACATTCTTTGTTTGATTCATTTTTTACGGCTTATCGACCCTTTGCAGTTTATTTGAAACCAAAAAATATTTTTAGCATTTAAGATTTTTTTTAGATAATAATGGCTTACTGATGAAAGTATTACTAATTAACTGGAAGTGGAACTCCGCTCTCCGATTTCCAATTCCGAGCTATTTATTCATTACACCACCCGCACATCCAAGCTTACACCACCCGGTATTGCGAAGTGGTCACCTGTCTGGGTACTGACTAGCTTCGACGTTGCTTAACCGGTGATCGTACCGAGAACCGGATTAGCAGTTTCAATCAGATAAGCTCATAAGCCATGAGAGCCATGTCTGATGTAGTAACAGATCAGTTGTTATTATTATTATTATTATTATTTATCAAAAGTCTTTTAAATTTTTATATCTTTATTTCAAAGTTTATTTCATATACACGTTTTTCACAAGAAGTCATAGTAATTCACAGATAATAAAAAATGGAATGCGTGGAGAGTCGTGATCGCCTATGTTCTGATGGGATATTGCATTTAAGTAAAAATGTTGTTATAATTACTGAAGTGTAGAATTTTGTGTACAGCTTTGTTCATATTTTCAGATTTCTGCTATATCTGTTTTGCAGTATACATTTAAAAAGTGCTCCTACACCATCACCCCTAATAGCCCCTTACTATTAATAATGATGATTTATTCTGGAATAAATATCTGCGCACACATACGCATACATATCTGTATATATGATGTCATGATGTATGTGTATTTATGTTCTGATGGGTTTTCCTCTATGGTACCTTTACTGCAGGCAAAACGTTTTGGGCCCATCCTGCATTTCTTTAAAAAGTACGCATTAAAATAACATATCTTTTACTTCTTAAAGTAAAGTTTACAATTTTACTACTCCACAGTGTATTTGCTTTGATTTTTCAGTCTTTCTCCAGGTTCCACTTCCTACCAAAAAGTTCAAATTTGGATTCGTCTGTCCACAATATATTTTGCTAAATTTTGAACATTTTGGATGATATATTATATTTTTTCACCATTAAGCCATCAGTAGACATTTTGAGATTGTCAACAGTGCTGAAAATTTGATTCAGATGAACGGAATAATGAAAAAAGAAAAATATCATTCGATTTTACAACGACATGCTATACCATCTGGTTTACTTTTGTGGGAAAAATTCACCTTTCAACAAGACAACGATCCAAAATACTCTTCTAAAAAGGAACAAAATTTTGGAAATTATGATTTCACCTCGCTCAAATTGAATTACTATGGGATGAATTGCATTGTAGAGTTCGAAGGGAATACCCAAAGAATGAGAGTGAGCTTTTTCCGTGCTTGAAGAATACTTCGGAAGGTCTGTCGTCTACTTTTTTCAAAAAATGTTGGAAAGAATGTCAAGAATTTATAAAGCAGTAATTAAGACAGGTGGTGGATTTATTGACGAAAACAAAATATGATGCCGTTGCATGATAATCCTTTAGAGTTAAGTGCTTATTTTTGTCAAAATAAAAGCAATTACGCTTTATTTACTGAAATTTTATCTTTTATTTTAAAATAATGAAAAAAATATCTCATTTTAAGCAGTTTTTAAAGAAATGCAATGTTTCCCCAAATTTTCTGCCTGTAGTGTATGTACCGCTATGTAATCTGCATCTACCACGTCATTGTCGCTATACGAACAGACGATAAGACCAAGATTAAATGTTTTACATTTAACTAATAAAACAAATTTTGCAAATAAAACTTAATTTTTCGAAATTTCATGAAATTAAGTTGGTGAGGGGGTTAACATATGCAAAAAATATTTTTATCAAGATTTAAAAAAAATATTTCAGAAATAATTTCATTTATTTGTAAATAAGTCCTGAAAGTTTCATTAAATCCGACATTTATTTGATTTTTGCAATAATTTCAAAATCAATGTTTTTTTTTGTTTTTACTGGAAGAAAGGCACTAAAACACCCGTAGTAATCTTAAGCCGATCGCTAACGCAGATAAAACAATATTTTAACCAAAATTTAGAACGTGCTACAAAAGATTAAAAACATTAATAAAATAATAAAAAAATACTTCGGTCTTTCCCTTTAATAATAACATAGATATTTCGACGATAAAACTTTGTTTTTATGAAGTTTGGGGCCTGTTTTCATCATGCTATGAGTAAATCGGTCATAGATTTACTTCTGTATTGGTATCAGTTATCTTCCCTTAGCAGAGGTGTGAATGTGGCGTCGAGAAGGGGAAATATTTTTCTTCCTTCACCGTCAGACACATCGCACGGATGCGCAGTATTTCTCTTTGCACGGAACTTCACGTCATGACGACATGACTGCTGCTTCTCCATGCTTCCTTTGCAGGAACAAATCGTTCCCACAATCACCCACTGAAGATAGGAGCATTGTTATCCCTCTTTTGAAAGAGAGCGCGCGCTAGAGTGAGTGAGAGAGAGAGAGAAAGAGAGCGCGTGTTAGAGAAAGAGAGAAAGAAAAAGAGAGAGAGCGATAGAAAGAAAGAGAAAGAGAGCGCGCGCTAGAGACAGAGAAAGAGAGAGTGATAGAGAGAGAGGGAGAGAGAGAGGGAGAGAGAGAAAGAGAGCCATCGCTAGAGAGAAAGAGTGAGAGAGCGATAGAGAGAAAGAGAGAGAGAGTGATAGAGAGAGATATTTAGAAATGGAAAGAATGAGTAGTCTAGTGACGAGAGTTGTTCTGACTAGAGTCTATCCGGAAAAAAACTCCGAGAATGTTACTCTCCTCTAAAATCTTCTTATTTTTTTTTTATTTCACTTCTCTTAATATTTTTGATCAATCTGCCATTTTTATCTTCTATGGAAATTAAACTAAAATCCGTCAATGGTTCAAGATGTTTAAAAATATTTTCTCTCTCTCTCCCTCTCTCTTTTAGGTTGTCTATGTTGCAGCCACATTACCCTACTTGCTTCTGACGATCTTACTCGGGCGCGCCGTAACCCTTCCCGGATCAAAAGATGGATTACTTTATTATATGTTGCCCAAATGGGAAAAACTCAAGGAATTTTCTGTAAGTAGTTTCATTTTTAACATTTGGAGAAAAAAATCAAAATGATTAATATCAAACTCTCTCACACACACAAAAGAAAAAAAAACAAACATTTGTCACATTTATAAAGAAGCGATTATGAAAATAAATGTGATAACGTATGTGCTGACATCACGGATAGACTTAAGGAGATGCTTAGAATTTAAATTAATGACGAATATGGAAGTACCGTAAAGGAATTCTTTTGGTAAAAAAAAAAAAAAAAAAACACCCTACGAAAACAAAAATAGTTCAAACAAATGTTTGAGGTAAAAATAAGTTAGTGGCATGGGAACACAACAAAGACAGACGATACAGAGTTTAAAAAACATACGAAAATTTTAGTCCTAACACACACAAAATGAATTTGCAGGCGTTAAGTGCTTTGTGTGCCAAATGATGGCCAATAACATGCACATCAATGAAAATCAAATCTGCCTTTTTACAATTAAATTTTATAATACTGCAAAGAAATTCCCCAGAAAAGAAAAATACATAAATTGAAGAAAAAGAGAAAATACTTCTCTGAATAGTTTTCAAAGAATAATGTCGTACAATTTTCGAAGCAAAGTTCGTGGTAACAGCGACGAATAGATCGAGCATATCAGCCGAAGATTTTTTCCTTGATATAGAAGCGACTTTTATGTTCCTTTCTCATCTGGTGATAGTCAAATTTCTTCTGCTTTGTTTTCTTTTTGGACTGATGCGACCTGCGTTCCTGGAACAGCTCCAAAAATGAAATCCAAGCCCCCATTAAATAACCTACAGGTAGGCTCCAAATACACTTCTCGGGATTTGGAGGGAAACACTTTTGAAATTTGGAGAAAAACAATGGCTGTTTTCCCAGAAATCAAAATGTACCAAAAATCTTTTTTAAATTTAAAAATTAATCAAGAGCCCAACGCATCATCTGCTTTCTCTCTGAAGGGCAAACAATTCACTTTTATATATATAAAAGTGAACATAGAAATCAACACTTAGAGGCGACAGTCTGTTTCATG